GATTTCGAATTCCCAATTTATCCCTTCCCACCCCCTTTACCCAAGGGTGTCTTTCTTGACCGTCCTGTGTAATGGAGTCCTCCATCACTGTCATCTTAACACATACCTTGTTTTACTTTCTTCATAGAACTCCTCAGTATCTGAAATTTTCCTGTGTGTTGACTTGAGTGTTATCTCCCCCACCAAAATGGAAGCTCTGTATGAGGAGATAATTTCTTTTTTTTTTTTTCTTTACTGCTCCTCTGTACAACACCTAGAGCAACGTCTGGCATATAGTACACATTTACTTGCTAATTGTTTGAATTAACAAATAAATTCAGTTTGTCCTGCTCAGAAACTATAAACTCATCTCAATACATCATCTCACTGATCCTTCCATACCTTTTGGGAAGGCTTGGAAGCCTTGGTGTGTACTTCTCAGCCTGATGATTGAGAGCCTTGGCAAGGAGTACAGAAGCCAGATTGGAAGCGAAGTCCAGGTTTTTTGAGGGGTGGGGGATGGGGGGAGTCTTCATCATTTTGTCAGTTCTTTTATTAGACAGTGTCTCTTTAACTCCTCACTGTCTCACTGTGACTGCCTGTTCCTCCTTTCAGTACATACTGACTTACTGGTCACTGGAGAGCCCCCAGTTTAATCGTCATGAGGCTAGCGCCTCCCTGTTTCCTCCTCTCTGAAATTGTACATAAACAAATGGTCAGAATTAACTTTTTAAAATAGCCTTCCAAACTGCTTAACTGTCTTCTTTTCACATCTTCTTAGATATTGGCCTTTTTTCTGAAGTTTTAAAAACCTGCCTACACCTGAAGTTTTGGGAACACATCTTTCCATGCTCTCTCACAGTCTAAAATAATCTGGCTCCTTTTTGCTACATTTTTGTTTTCTAAGATGAACCATACAAATATAGTTATGGAATATTGATTTTGAACTTAATGGTTTAAGGTGAGGCTTTGTTTGTTCCTGATCTGTGGATACTGATATGAAAAAAGTAGGGAAGAAACAGAGAGCTATGTTTAATACTGTGTGTAGTCCAAGCTGTTGGGTGAGACAAAGATGATGAGAGCAGTTTTTCTGTTTGTTTTAAATTTTTGTGAATGGAATGGCTTGACACTATTATTTGAGGAAAAATTAGGTAACTGTTAATTCTCCATGCTTTACTCCAAGCTTCCTGAGTATAGCATAGTATGAGGTGTCAGTTAAGATGACGCACTTTAGGGCATGTCTGGGTTCATATACTATCCCCCAACCTTACTGAGTGTATGCAGCATGGTACGAGGTGTCAGTTAAGATGATGCACTTTTGGGCAGATCTGAGTTCATATACTACCCCTATCACTTATGAGGTGTATAGTTGTGGATGATATTTAATTTTCTCAACCTCTTTTTCCTTATCTTTAAAATCAGAGTAATAAGACTAACATATGATGTTATAAAAATTCAGTAATATTTTATTTAATCTTCATACTGTTCCTGAAATAAAATAAACACTCTAATCACTAACTGTTATTCACGTATTATTGTCTCATTATTATATGAAACTTAGTGTGAAGAGTTTACTTTTCTTTCCTGCTGTAAGTTGTTTAAGATTCTGAACATGCTACAAAATGATGTGAATATGAAGGAAGATTGCTTCATGGTTAAACTTAAGTCTGTTTTCTGACCTGAAAGCTTGAAAAATCAAGTTATGGAAAATGATATTTAATAATCATATTGTCTAATTAAAAATACTTTTTAAAAGAAATGACCATATTTTATTCAATATATTTTTACAGGGGTAGTAAAACGAATCATTCCTGCAGTAGCTTCCACTAATGCAGTCATTGCAGGTGAGCAAAAATGACTACTACTTATTTTGTTTTCTTTCCTTTGGATTTTTGATTTTTTTTATTATTTTTTCATTTTTTTAACATTTATTGATTTATAATAATTTTACAATGTTGTGTCAAATTCCAGTGTAGAGCCCAATTTTTCAATTATACATGAACATATATATATTCATTGTCACATTTTTTTCTCTGTGAGCTACCATAAGATCTTGTATATATTTCCCTGTGCTGTACAGTATAATCTTGTTTATTGATTTGATATCTAAATTGACATTTCTGCAGCTACTTGATCTCAGAAAACTGATGTTCTGGAGAATTTGATTATCTTCTTGAGTGGGTGGTATAATTAAGCTGCCTGAAAAAAACACAAAACAGGCTATTGGACCTTGTATATATTTTGCCTTATATCATAGATAAAGTGCTCTGCAGTAAGGGGAGATTTTAGTACGTTTCTTTTTAATCAGTGTAACAGGCTGCTCATTAATGTGAAGAAGAGGAAGAAAAACATGTACTATCACTCTGTCACTTGGATTATAGAAAACAAATATGAAATTTATTATTTTCTCAGTTTTTAAAAATGAGTGTGTATATGTCTTTTTGTCTATTTTGTAATCAATAGCCTTGTAAATTTTCTCTTCTGATTTATAATGACTTTTTAAAAAAACATAGTTTTAAATGTCTAATTTTGAGTTAAAGCACCTTTATTTTCTCTCCTCTTCAGCTGTGTGTGCCACTGAGGTTTTTAAAATAGCTACAAGGTAATGGGTTTCATTTTTCATGTGTATGTAAATCTATGTTTTGATCTGTCTCGGTTATATAAAAATGAACATTTTTTCATTACAGTGCATATATTCCCCTTAATAATTACTTGGTATTCAATGATGTAGATGGACTGTACACGTATACATTTGAAGCAGAGAGAAAGGTTAGTAGTAGTATACTAATGAGAACTTTTTTTGATCATGCATACTTTGATTTTTAAATACTAATTACTGGTTGGAAAATTGCCCACACCTTTTCTAAGTATTTTCTAACTTCCAGAACCCTACTTACTATATATTTTTTGTAGTATAGCCTGAAATACATACTATATAGCAAAATAATTTAGGAGAATGGCCTCTTAGGAAAAGCAGGTTTTAAATAAAGTGTAAAAATTTGTTCATAGGAAATAATGCATGATTATAAAGCAACTTAATTTTCAGTTCATCATTGTGAAGAGACTATTATTGGTGCATGTGCCACAGTGATTTGTGTTTCATTTTATATCTAGGAAAACTGCCCGGCTTGTAGCCAGCTTCCTCAGAACATTCAGTTTTCTCCGTCAGCTAAACTGCAGGAAGTTTTGGATTATCTAACCAATAGTGCTTCTCTGTAAGTGTTTGGGACTTCTATTATGTGGTAGAAACAATTTTTGTGATATTTTAAATATAATTATTTTTAAAAGAGTGATCTCTGATTTTTTTTTCCCCCTCATAATTTAGGCAAATGAAGTCTCCAGCAATCACAGCCACATTAGAGGGAAAAAATAGAACACTTTACTTACAGGTGATCAGTGTTTGGTTTTTATTTTTTTCCACAAAATTATATTAAAAGTTTAATTTCACTTAATGTGCTTTATTTACATTGTCATTTTCTAGTCAGTAACCTCTATTGAAGAACGAACAAGGCCAAATCTCTCCAAGACATTAAAAGGTATTTTAAATGAGTATGTTTATTAATACTAATCAATTGCTTTTGTTGTTTTTTGGGTTTTGGGGTTTTGTTTTGTTTTGTTTGTAAAAATAATAACTGCTTCCTCTAAATTTGTTCTTAGTTACTTTAAATGGTGATATCATCATAATTACTTCTATCTTTAGAAATATTGAGTTAATTGCTTTTAGTGAAATATTTAAAAAATCTCTAAGAAATCAAATATTAACTTGATTTAAAGAATATTAACCTTGATTAAAGGGAACTGGATTTTGATGCTTATCCAGATCCTGGTGGTCTGCAGTTTGTGCATGTGTGCGTTGTTACCCATTGTTGGACATTGTCTGCTTGGGTTAACTGCGCTTGTCTGTTTTAGAGCTGGGACTCGTTGACGGGCAAGAGCTGGCAGTTGCTGATGTCACCACACCACAGACCGTGCTCTTCAAATTGCATTTCACTTCTTAAGGAAAATAAACCTGCACACAATAGAAAACTCATGGAAATATATTTCCTGGATGCTAAGAAATCTACTTGATGTCATTTTTAGCATTAGTGTTGCTGGAATTTGACTTTTTTTTTAATATATATATAATGAGTCACTCTTTTTTAACTTTATAACTTTCCCTTGAAGACAGAATTTTGGGGTTGGTGCTTGTAAGCATTTTCATTAATATGGAAAATGGTGCCTGGAGGGAGAAGGATTATCAGCAAATGGATTGCTTCTTATAGAGGAGGAGGCAAACACTGTTGTGTGTGACTTTTGTTACAGTCAAAGAATGCATTCTTCAGTTTTCACTTGCGCACCCACATATACACAAGATGTCCCTTTTAAGAAAATAAGAAAATTAAGTTTTAAATAACATTAACTATTACAACCTGACATCTAGAGCATATTGAACATAGGCTACTTCTTGCTTGATTTAATAGTCATTTAATTGTGGCTGTCCAAATGAATATTAATTATTGCAAAAGTTACCTTGTCCATAATAATTTGTAAATGGTGTTATAGCTGAATACCTATGCATGGAAATGGGAAATATTTTCATGTGTTTACTTGCAGTGCCATAGAGACCAATATGCACAACATTAAAGCCAAGACATGGATGTTTAAAAGAATTTAATGTTTAAACAGTTATCACTGATGCTTTCGCACTATTTATTAATAAAATCATATATTGTCTACTTTTCTCACTGGAATTTTTTGAAGTATTTTTAAGGATAGCAGGTAGTTCTATAGTAATGTAGAAATAATTTTGATATGTGTTGCAGAATTCCTAATACAAAAATTTTATAGTACCTGATTTAATACTTTTACCACAATAAATATCTACTGACTTGATTTAATTTTGCTCTAACATAATGTAGTGAAATCCATTCCATTCCAATCCATTTCATTACATTATTATGTTGAGCAAAATTAAATTCTATCAGTACATATATTAGTGGTATATATACATTCCACTGTTAAAAATGCTTTTTTTTCTCCCTCCTGAAAAGATTAAGGTTTAAAATTAAGCGTAAGTACTGAAAATGAGTTTTAGTATCTTAGTGTGGGAACATGTAGTACATGTTCTTACTCTGTTTTTGACTTGGGTGGCAGTTTTCTGTTTAAAAGCTTTGTGATTACATGTCACTGGGTTTTTATTCTTTCTGGCTTTTATTGACAAATAATTTTATGTTTCATTATAAAATCATATTGGATAAATTTATATGCTTTCCTTAAAAGTAACAGGTTCAGTTTACAGGTGCTACAATAATTCTCAAAGTTGCCTTGTGAGAAAGTGATCATAACTCTGAGAGCTGAATAGTTTTAGAAAGTTTAGGTCATTTACCTCAAGCTTGGAACAGGGAGGGATTGCAACCCTAACCTGACCTCCTCCTCAGGCTCCTTAGCTAAGCTCTTTGAAGTTATCCGAGTTATTTAGTACTACTTGTATAGATTACTAAATTGTGAGAGTTTCAACTTGCAGATTTTTACAGAAGTATTGGAAGATCATAACTTCTGAAGGGCAGAGTTTAAATCTGGTTTTAAAAAATCACAATTCCTTTATGGCATGGTGCCTTGCAGTGAGGTAAAGTACTCAAATTTAGGGGACAAACAGGTAAGGTAAATAACCACAGCAGGGAAGGTGTAAGAGGATGTAATTAGTGGGGTCTGTAGCACACTGGAGTGAAAATTATTTGTCAAGAGGGGCAACTACTACAGCTGACTGTTGCATGCTGGTATCCGTATTTTTCAAAATCAGCTGGAAAGCTGGACTTTTGTATGAAATATGGCTTTTAAATGTTGGTAGAATTTTATCTTTAACATTATGGGGGCCAAACCAGACAGCTGCTGACTAAATTAGGAAGGCCACCAATTTGAAGAGCGCCTGCAAAAAACGTTGTATTTTAAATATGCACAGTGCACATTAAGAGTAGTAACACTTTCCAGGTTTGTTTTGACTGGGGCCGAGAGTGGACCTGTATCACGAGGGGGAGATTGTGCCTTTTGTATGCTTGTTCTAACGTGTTACTCTTTGTGGAAGACGGCTTTTTACTTGCTTCCATTAGATAGGCTGGATCAGGTCTTTTATACGATGCCCAGTATTTTTAGACAAACCCAAACCCGGAGTTCCTCCTTCAGGCCAAACTGACACAGAACTGATAAAATACTTGAGACAAGGCGCCAAGTAAGAGAAAGGCGAGACCCAAACTTCCCTTTGCAGTTATTGTTGGCGAGGCGCTCGCTCTAAATACGAGAGCTATTTTTCCAGGAAGGAACCCACAAGAAAACTCGCATATTTCTTCTGGGGGAAAATGCCCCTGCTGGTGGCCACTGAGTTTCTCCGGTGGCCGAGAATTCCCGCACTCCGCCTGGAATCGGTATCAATAGGCAGCGTTCCGCGTTCCTCGGTAGCTAGTGGCGCGCCCGGAGCCCCGGATGTGACGTCAACGTTTCTCGCGTTCTTCCGTCTGTCGGCGGAACTCCGGGCTCCCGGACTTGCGGGTTGTGTACGTGGAAGCAGCCAGCGCCTGCGCAGTCGGAACCTTTCGTCTCAGCTGTGAGGGAATCGCTGAGGGGCAGAGCCCCGGCTCGCGGGAGACCGTCGGGGTGCGGGGCATGGCCCCCTGCTGACAGAGCCCGCCGCGTGGAGAGGGGGCGAGGCTTTCCACGCACCCTTCCCCGGGCCTGCGACCGTCGGCCTGGACCTCAGCCTTCCCGCTCGGTGCCGCCGCCGCCGCCACCGGCGGCTGAGGAGGGGCGATGAGCTGGTTCAACGCCTCCCAGCTCTCCAGCTTCGCCAAGCAGGCCCTGTCGCAGGCCCAGAAGTCTATCGACAGGGTCCTGGACATCCAGGAAGAGGAGCCGAGCGCCTGGGCCGAGACCATTCCGTACGGAGAGCCGGGTAAGGGCGCGAGCGGCGGCGTCCCCGCGCTCCCGCGGGCATAGCTCCTGAGGCCGCCAACAGGTGACGGGGGGGACCGGGCCCCTTCCTCGCTGAGCAGCTGACTGCCGAACAAGTCACTGCCCCCGGCCCGTCCCCAAACGCTGCTGTTGTTGTCTCTCAGTTGATCTTTGCCGCTTTCCTGCGGGAACACTCGGCTCCGGGTCCCTCGTTACCTGTGCGCCGGCTGCGAGGATCACAGGGACCTGGTTCGGTGGTCGTAAGTCGTAGCCCCACGCCCCTCCTCTCCCCCCCCCCTTGGCCCTGAGCACAGCCTCCCCGAACCTGGACCGGCTGCGTGGCTCTGGACGCTGTTTGCAGCCCACATCCGAATCAGTCGACAGAGACAGGGAGAACGCTTTGAGAGCATTTGGTGTTTGGAAGTACCCACTGTGCTCTTCTGTGGTTTTCTGTCCTGACAGCAGCTGCTCGAGTTAGGGTGATCCCTGCTGTCTTGCACAGCAGAGGACCACAGGCTGAGACAGCTCAGTCTCTTCCTCTGGGCCACTCCTCGGGCCGGGGCCGGCCTCCGCAGGGAAAGCATCCGTGGAGACCCGGCCCGCGATTTCGGGTTGCATCGCTCTCTGGTTCTTACATCTCTGTCTCTCCTTGTCAGAGCCCTTGGGCTTCATCTTTCAGGGATCTTTAGTTGCTTTTGACTGTAAACCAAAGGAACAATTTAGCATTTTGGTGTGTGGGGTTAAGATTGGCCGAGTTTGGGGGCATGGACCTCTGGGAAAAAGAGTAAGTTATTCTTGACTATTCCTTCCTGATTTCTCTATTTAATTTTACATTGTTGAAAAGTCAGGGCCTAAATTTGAGGTACCTCTTTGAGATATTTTGGCTCGTGTGTATGGCACAATCCTGTTACTTTCTCGAAATGTTATAGGACCTTGTTGGAGTAGCTCAACTTCCTTTTTTCAGGTTACCCCACATTTTGAATTACTAATATGAATATTGAATTACTAATATGAAACCTGGGGCTTGAATGCTGCTCGATAAGTCATTTTTTAAAAATAGGTTATTCAGAATAGACTCAGATTTTAGTGAAATGCTATAAATGTTTATTGATCACCTGCATTTTGTGTTGCCATCACTCAAAGTTGACAGTCTTCACAATGAAATAATATAAGTGAGTATCGCATAATCCTGCTATTTATATGAAACTTTGTCCAGGATTCAAATTTGACTTATATCCTTCATTAAGATGACTTAATTAAACTAATCAGCAGACTTAAAAAGAAATGCTTTAAATATTTTAGCAAATACACCATTTTTTGTTTATCATGAAGTTTTGTAGTAACATATATTTCTATGATATAATTACCTTTTTTGCCCAGAAGATAGTTATTTTCTCCTTAGTGTTTTCAAAAATACATAGTGTAAACTACCGTCTTTATCAAAAGGTGATAACTCTAAAAAAATGCACATTTCTGAAATTCATATGACCTTCTACTCATTGCTGACATAAATTGGAATTTTGCAAGAGAACAAAGCTTTCTCAAAGAGTGGGTTTGGAGAGTGGGACTTGGAGAATGAGCTTGCATTAAGTAGATGAAAATGAATTTGTTCTTAAGAAGTTATTGTTCCCATAGGTTTACTTTGATCTTTGGAAAAGGACGTTTGTCACCAGTATTTTGGGTTCAGTTTTTGAGTTTTGCTGTCTGTTTAGCTCATAACTATGTTTTATCATTGCATTATAAGAATAAAATTAATAAAGAACTAACTGAATAGAAGGTAGATTCTATTTGCCATGACTGCACATGACCTGTAAATGAAGATACTGCCTATCACTGTGAGATGCAGCATATGTACGTTGGACTTAGCATGGATTATTAACATACACCATTGCTTTATTACTTTGTTGTAGGAAGGAGTAACATAGTCGCTTCTGGTAGGCCAGGCCCAGTCCAGTCTTTCATCTTTGTTCCTAGTTACTCTTGGCAGATCCACACAAGTTTTCTCTATAAGGCCCAAAGTTAACCCATGAACTAATTAATTATGTAGTAAGCAAGGAGTTCAACAGGTACAAATTACAGTTTGTATTCTATAGATTTAAAAAAAATTTCTATTGATTTATAATGATTGTAATATAAATGCAATATTTATATATATATAATTTTTCTTTTTATGTATGTGTGTGTGTGTATAAATATATATATATATATATATATTTTTTTTTTGTCAAAGGAATAAGTCCCCCTGTCAGTGGAGGATGGGATTCTTCTACCTGGGGATTAAAATCAAATACTGAACCTCAAAGTCAGCCGGTAACCTCTCCTAAAGCAATTACAAAACCAGTTCGGAGAACCGTGGTAGATGAATCTGAAAATTTCTTCAGTGCCTTTCTTTCTTCAGCGGATGTCCAGACCATTCAGAAGAGTCCAGTGGTATCAAAACCACCAGCTAAATCACAGCGACCAGAAGAAGAAGTGAAAAGCACCTTACAGGAGTCCTTGCACACTGGACAGTCGAGAACAGCTGAAACAACTGAGTCAAAAGTAAAAGACTCTCCTCTGCCTGTGTCGGGGGAGACTCTGGCCGGAGACGCTCTGTCACCTGAAACTGAAGGCAAGCATGAAGAAACTGTTAATAAAGAACTTGATCCAAAGGTGTCAACTGTATGTTTGAAAGTATCTGAAAGTGTAATTAATGTGAAAACAACCAGGGAAAATGTATCTAACATGTCTACTCAGCCTCTCACAGCTGAAGCAAAGGACATGGCTTTGGAACCTAAGGAACAAAAACATGAAGACAGGCAGAGCAATACACCTTCTCCTCCTGCTAGTACCTTCTCATCAGGTACTTCTACCACCAGTGATATTGAAGTTTTAGATCATGAAAGTGTAATCAGTGAGAGCTCGGCAAGTTCGAGACAAGAGACTGCAGATTCAAAATCAAGTCTGCACTTGATGCAGACATCTTTTCAGCTTCTCTCAGCATCTGCATGTCCTGAGTATAATCGTCTAGATGATTTCCCAAAACTTACTGAGAGTTGCTGCTCATCTGATGCTTTTGAAAGGATAGACTCGTTTAGTGTACAGTCATTAGACAGCCGTAGTGTAAGCGAAATCAATTCAGATGATGAATTGTCAGGCAAGGGATATGCTTCAGTACCGATTATAGTTAATCCTTCAACTCCGAAGACTAAAACAGTTGAATCTGTTGAAGGAAAGCCTGAAGAAGAAATAAATGAAACATTAATTATGCCCACCGAGGAAACAGAATTGGAAGAAAGTGGACGGAGTGCAACTCCCGTTAACTGTGAACAGCCTGATATCTTGGTTTCTTCTACACCAGTAAATGAAGGACATGCTGTCTTAGATATGGTTGGTGAGCAGGGTGAAGCTGCTGACAGTCAGCCAGAAGCACTTTCTGAGAAGGAAGATATGTGCAAGGTAACTCTAGGAAGTGGAAGGGGATTTTTTGATATGCTTCTCTGAGATTAAATCATTAGTTTTTAATATTCAGTGATTATTAGTGACCTGTTGATTTGTCCTGATTAAAAAAGACACCATTTAGTGTGGTATGAGGACCTTAAAACTAAAGAATGATTGGTATTCTAAAATATTTGAAATTTCTCCAAGGCATCTATGGTATCATAAGTTGATATTTCAGTGTAACTAAGCATAAAAAAGTTTCCATCTTAGGCCTTTACTATTGAGTCCTTATCACCTTAAAATTCCCTTTTCCTGTGCTCATTAATTTGTTAGTTTGTAAAGGGACTTTATTATGTTAACAGATATCTTCAACTCCTTTGCAGATAGAAGTGCTTAAACAAGTCTAAATAGTATATGGTTTTTCTTATGTCAAAAAAATTTTGCATATTCACATTATCTGTAGTAAATCTTACATGAAAAATTGGGTCTCAGATTATTGATGCTTTTCTTTTGTTATTAATTACTTCAGTTTGTTTTCCCTTTTATGTTGGTTTTGATATTTCCTATTGATAACTATCTTAAATGAACAGGAGAGGGAAATGTCCGAGGAATGACAGATTGCTTCTACCTAATACATATAAAGGGGAAGTGGTATAACATCTTAGCATTAAGTCACATTTTTGGTTTTTCCTATAATTTTTAGCTATAGAAATAGAGTTGGATCTGGCATCTTTAGTAGACTCCTCTGAGATACAGGATATCTTGAAGAAATGTCCTGTAAGTGCTATGCATTGAATTATTCAATGTAAAAAAAAAAGCCAGATTCTGTTACCTAGGTTTAATATTATTCACAAACAGAATGCCATGCTCTAGCTATAATAGCAATTTGAATTCCTAGAAACCAACACCATTTATTATTAATATTTTGGAACCATTTTTAGAAGGTAAGTGATTTCTAAACTAACCTAGACATAAATCAGGTTAAGACATTTTATTTTTTGCTGTGAAAGGCACCATTCCTCCCCTTATACACAGGTGTATTGCTGCCTCAGTGGAACCTAAGGAATAAGATACTCTAACCATTCCTTTTTGTTTAGCTTTATACTGACATATTCTGGGGATTTTAAAATTAAATGCCAATAGATTTTCTAAAATTACTTTTATTTTTTTAAAGCATCATGTCATGCTAAAAAAAGTTACATGTTTGGGTTGAAGAATACTTTGGAGAAACAAACACGTTCACACTGGCCGGCTAAGATATAGAACATTACTAGACGCTTTTGAAGCTTCCTCCTTTGACCTTTTTGGATTGCATCTAATCTCCCTCTTTTGGGGGACATGTCCTTTTTCCCCACATTTTGCTGTTACAAACTGCTGGAAATGTTCTTATACACTCATGCAGGAGTTTTCACTTGTGAGGTGTGCCTAAAAATGGAGATCTATACACAAAAGGGTAGGAAAGGATATGTAGATCTCCAGCTAGATACTCGTTAATTGTTTTCCCAAGCGTTTTACTAAGCTACCAGCTGTGTGGCCATACTAATTTATATTTCCTACCCACTGTGTATGAGTTCTTGTTGTTCTGTGTCCACTGTGTTCCTCTTTTATGAGATAATGCTGCTTTATATATTATAATAATTAGTCTATCTTTCCAACTTATCACCTGCATGTAAAAATGGTCTTTTAAAGTTAAGTGTTGGACTTTTCTCCTCATCCAGACAGTTGAATTTCTGAATGAGAAATTGGATAAAAGGGAAGCTCAGTTATTATCGCTAAGTAAGGAAAAAGCACTTCTTGAAGAAGCTTATGATAATCTGAAAGAGTAAGTATTTTCCAGATGTGAATAATTTTACATGTTTTGTAGTGACCATACACTTGGTTATTATTTAGGAAAGTTTTAAAAATTAAAATGTTTTATAATTTAACTTGTTTATAGTGATTGAAAATTGAATAGCATTTTAGTTCTACCTTTAGAGGTCACTTTTCTCTTCAAATTATCTTACTCTGTTACCTTTGGGATATACCTTTGCAAAACAAAACAAAAACAAAAAACCTCTTTCCCTTTATTATTAATAATCTTTTAGTATTAGAGATTTAAAATATATATTTAAAGAAACCTGTGAGATTATAGTTTAAAAAATACTGAGTATTGGTTTAAGGAATTGATTAGTAAAATGTGGCAATAGGATTCAAACATGAAAATTTTCTTTACCTTTTTCTTATTTTTACACATCAAATATTGGTGACATTTTCAACTTCTAGTGGCTTTTCTTTGAGCTGTAGAAAAATAAATTAAGCAGGTAATTTTTCTCTTAAAAGTTAATGGGCCTAAAATTAATCTATTTTAGTCAGATATATGTTAGAGACAATGTTATTTTACATTCCAAACTGAACTCATCTTGTTTACTTTGGGATATATAAACAAGAATTTTCAGTGTCAGTATTATTTTAAATTTAGTGAAATGTTCAGAGTGAAAGAAGAAAGCAGCAGCATTTCTTCCTTGAAAGATGAGTTTACTCAAAGAATTGCAGAAGCAGAAAAGAAAGCTCAGCTAGCCTGCAAAGAGAGAGATGCCGCTAAAAAGGTAATGGAAATTTAAAATAATATTAATTAAACTCTGTACGTACATAGGTTTTTGAGGAATGCATTACTGTTTTGGTATTGGAAAAAAGTAAGATTAAAAGGATACCATACATAATATATTAACACTTAAATTTTAGATTTTTTTTAGTACCTTTAGAATTACAGATTTTTGATACTAAAAAAAATAAGCAAATATTTGTATAATTTATGTGATAAGTCCTTGCTAATTATATAGCAGGGATCTTTAGAATAATTTTTGTAAATGATAATTACATCAAAATAAATAACACTTAAATCTAGATGACACTAAATAAATTTTAAGAATTATCATTACTCTCATTTGTTACTTTCCCTTCCACTTCAAACATACTCTTTCAAGTCAAAGTAATTTTCAAATAATACTTTCTAGCGATTAGTGATGTATATTAGAATAAAGTGTTGATTTATTCTAATGTAAGATTTCTCAACTTCAGCACTATTGACGTTTTGGGATGGGTAATTTCATGTTGTATGGGACTGTCCGTGCATTGTAGGGTATTTATCAGCATCCCAGGCCGCTACCTACGAGATGCCAATATCACCCTCCCCTGTCCAATCCCCATCCCAATCCCTCCTCAGTTGTGATCATTGAAAATCTGCAAGACATTGCTAACTATCCCCTTGGGAGCCAAACTGCTTCTGATTGGAAACCATTGTTCCAATTCTTATAATTTGGAACAGTTGGCTATTTCAGAAATTAGTAACCAAATAAGATTAGTTATTATTGCTTGTATCCCAGCTATTAGTAAAAAACATTTCTCAGTATTTGCCCTTTGGAGGTTGTTTCCCTTCTTGACCAATGTTAGTTTTACTATTTACAATTTTTCTGTGTATGCTCTTACAGAAAAGAAAGAAATGATATACTTCTAGCTGCTTGGTTGCTTTAATTAGCAACTTTACTTAGTATCATTTTAGACACTAACAGTAACCTGAGAGTATCTAACCAGCTTACCTCTTCTTGTTCCTACTGTGTTCCATCTGAATACAGCTCAGAAAGTAGATTTTAAGTAATGTTTGTTTTCTGTAGTGCACTTTAAATTATAGATCTGAAACAGATCCAAACCACTAACTATAGATGGAAAAAACTTGGGTCCTAAGGTTTAACACATTTTGTGTGTTCTGCCATGTGTGAACCCACAGCTTAGAAGCCACAGGCAATTCAAAGGTGAATTTAATTACCTTAAGTGAAGAGTTTGCTTTTCTACTGTTGGAAGACAGATAATATCAATAAATTTATAGTAGTGGGCAGAAAGAAATAAATTATAAATAAAGATGAATAAGCAATTTGAAATGGTATCATAGAGCGTGAATTCTGATCAGGGGAATTGAGGAAGGTTTCATGGAAGACATGACACTCTTATTGGACCTTGATGGATGGAATTTTGACAGCTGGAAATGGATAGCAATGTTATAGATGGTTCAGTGCATGGGCTTTAGGGATTCACAGGCCTGAGTTCAAGTTACAGCTCTACCACTTGATAGCTCTCTGACCTTCAGAGTTTACTCAGTCTTAATTTTCTTATTTGTGAAGTTGATTAATCAGTTCTTCCCTCATAGGATTGTTATGAGGATTAAATGAGAATGGATACAAAGCATGCTTTAAGTACCTAATAAATGTTAGTTGATTTTAGCTATTCTTTAGTTGCAGAGCATCATAAAACCCAAATTTTAAATCATAGAACACTTTTCATATCACCATATACTTCACTGTAATTTAAAAGTATAGAATATCTGAACATGTTTCTGATGAATCTCTGATTTATTAAAGTCAATTGAACCTTATAAAAAATCACATTTTTCCTCTCATTTCATAACATAATAGTAAGTGCAGTGAGTTTCAGATGAAGAAAAGAAATACAGTGAAAAATGGAGACATGTACTGTTTGAATGTTGCAAAAAGAATGCTTAACCTGTAGAAAATGTGCGTAGGGATACTCAAGAAGGGTATTGAAAGTTAACTTACTCTCTTTTACATTTCCATATTAAAACCTGTTTATATCTGGATTTAGGTTGTCTATGTGATTTTCAAAGCTGTTTACTTACTCTTAATTAACCAAGGTGATAAACTCAGAACCTAGCACAACAAAACTTAACAGTTTTTATCAAGAATGTGATTATTAGGATATGGAAAAAAATTAAAAATATGGCCAGAATGAAAGTAATTCTTTATGATATTCACATTCTTTCTTTTTTAATTAGGAAATCAAAAGTATAAAAGAAGAACTTGCTACTAGATTAAATAGTAGTGAAACTGCAGACCTTTTGAAAGAGAAAGATGAGCAGATCCGAGGGTTAATGGAAGAAGGTGCGTATTTAGCTGGTTATGAAAGATACTGTAAGAACAAGAAAGGTACTTGCCACATAACTAGCTGCTGCTTCCTAGTAAAAGAATGTTGGAAGCAAGAGAGATTTGGACTTAAACCTCAGAAATGATAGGCAATTTATGGAAGAATGAGGAGCAAGATGTAGAGAGATAGAGATTTATGTCTGTAGCTTTTTGTTTCTAGGAAGATAAAAAAAAATAACTCCCTGAGAAATAGAATTTTGTGCTTCCCTAAGAAAGCTTGTAACAGGTTTTAGAGCTCTCATATAAACCAGGATATTTGATGGTTATAATTCTGGAGTTTATATAGTATCTGAATCTCTGGCTTGGGTACTGAAGGTTTCATTGTATTGTTCTGGCATTTGATAGTGAATTTTTTTCTTATATTCGTGTTGTAATTCTTCAGTTATTAAGCACTTTGTATGTGAAAAGTTTTATAATTAGCAGGATTATGGAAATTTAAGATTCTTCATGAGATAAAACATTGCCATTGGAGACTGAATTAAGTTTTCAATGTAATGTCGTAGGAAAGAAGGTAGTTTGGGAAAAGATGATTATATGAATTTTTCTTTTTTCTTAATTAAAGTCATTTTACTTATAAGAATAGTGCTTGCTGCTTGTAGAAAATTTTAAGTTATAGAAAGTATATGAAGCAAAAATAGATCATAATCCAGTTTTACAAGGAGCTGTTAATTTCTTACAGTCCCTTTTTAATGAATTTTTAAACATAATTAAGATCATATATCTGATTTTCAGTCTTCTCTGTTTTACATTTCCCTGTGCCATTAAATGCTTTGATGCCATTATTACTGGTTGTAGTAAAGTCCATTATATGGATATACTATAACTTGTTTTCTCTTTTCCTAGTGTTAGACATTTATTTCTAAAATGTTAGTATTAAAAAAATTAAATGGTAATATTATAAATAAGATTGGGGTGAACATTTATTTACTGAAATCACTGCACATAAGTGAATTTCCAGAGTAAGTGTTTGAGAACAGTTGGAAACAATCACTTCATTTGAAAATGTTAATTTTACTCAATTTTTCTGTTTTACTTATTCAGCTAATATTTAACAGTTAATATGTCAGATATTGTGTTTGATACAGTAATAAGTACAACATACTCCCTGTCCTTTAGGAACTTACAGTTTAACGAGAGGGAAATATAGATAGATAATTATGAAATATAGTCTAATGCTAAAATAAAAGAATGAAGGAAGAGTTGATAAAACACATAATTATATTTCAAGACCTCTTGGCAGTCAGCACTTATCTTTTGTTACATTACAGATTGAGGGGAAATTTCATGGTTTCATAATTTTTAAAAATTATTAAAAATATTAACATCAAATGTCACTATTTTAGAATTTAGTAATTTAGTCAGGGGGCGAGCTGATTTTTCTTCTGCTGACTGAACTTCTTTATAGAGAAAATAGAATGATTTCATATGAATGTATTCACATAGTGCTTCTGTATCCCCCAAAAGTGTTTTCAAACTCAGGGCTGAAAAGCTGAAAGTCTCAAAGCTGAAAGCACACTACAATGAATAACTGATTACTTCATCACCTAGATTCATCAACTATTAACATCCAGCTACACCTCCTCCTTATCTCTCTGTTTGGGCATATACTGCCCTTTTGCCAAACCATTTGAAAGTAAATGTGGGAGTGATTCTTCAAGACTGTAAATATCCTGTTTCCCACCATCCTTCTACCTAGTAATTTTAGCATCCATTGATGATTCCTGTCCAATTCAGTTTAACATAGACTGTCAGAGCATTGTGATTTTAAAAATATTCTATCATTTTATGTCACTGATTAGGTAAAACATTCTATTCACATCTTAAAGAATCATTATTATTTGAAATTATACTTTTTTGCCTTTGCCAGGAGAAAAACTTTCCAAACAGCAGCTGCACAATTCTAACATCATTAAGAAATTAAGAGCTAAAGACAAAGAAAATGAAAATATTATTGCAAAGCTAAACAAAAAAGTTAAAGAGCTAGAAGAAGAGTTACAACATTTAAAACAGGTGACTATTATCTCTTCTATACATATATATATTGTTATTACTTCCAATATGAATGGTTGGCCATGGTTTGTAAAACACTTGGAATGATTTATTGAGGTATATCATTTGGGAAGAATTTTTCAAGCAATTTAATAGTGAATGTTAAGACTTTCCTTCATAGTTACAACACTTGAGATTCCTGGAATACAGTTATTTACTGTGGTGTTTTTAAATTGAAAAATACCTTTGTCTGTTTTCAAAATATAGGTCCTTGATGGCAAAGAAGAGGTCGAGAAACAACACAGAGAAAATATTAAGAAACTAAATTCTGTGGTAGAACGCCAAGAGAAAGATCTTGGCCGACTTCAAGTAGACATGAATGAACTTGAAGAAAAGAACCGAAGTGTTCAGGCTGCCCTTGATAGTGCATACAAGTAAGGAAATGAACAAATATGCAATTCATTTACAACCAATTATCAGAGCAGGGTGTTGAAGAAACCCTTTTTATATTATCTAACCACTAATAACATTTATAAACTCTGCTCTACATGAGCTTGTGACTGGTGAAAGCAGGTTCAGCAGAGGGTCCTCCCTGTAGTCAGCGTTCATTATGTGTTGCCTCTTCCTCGTTCTATAGATTTCATGGAAATCTCCATGACAACTCTATTAATTTGGTCATGTAATTAACTATACATTATGTTAAATAAAAAATTATCTATTTAATATTTTTAAGAGAACTTACTGATCTCCACAAAGCCAACGCTGCAAAGGACAGTGAGGCCCAGGAAGCTGCTCTGAGTCGTGAAATGAGGGCTAAAGAGGAACTTTCTGCAGCCCTAGAGAAGGCCCAAGAAGACGCCCGTCAGCAGCAAGAAACATTAGCGATTCAGGTAAGCAGTGGGTGCTAAATTTGTCTTTACAGTTTTTGTGCTTCTGCAAAATAAAGTATCCATCAGTTAGTTTGAATAAAACCTTATGTAGTGGCACATGCGTTACATTTCCTTTATGGTGCTGTTGGGCACTTTTCTAAGGGTACTGGATTTTGCCAAACTAATCAGTTGTGTGTGTTTTTAACTGTTGAAGGGCTGTTTACATTATACCAGTATTGCTTATTTTCTTGTGAATTTCAGGCTTATTTGAGAATATTATGAAAACTAAGGACCTTCTTACCATAGAAATGCACATATGCAGATAAATACTAAACACTGCATATAATTTCAGGAGAATCTGTGTAACTAACTCCTAAGCTCATTCATAACATCTGTGGGCATCCATGGATCTCAAATGAAGGAGGAAAACCAAACTTCTACACATATTTACTTGTATCTCTCTCATCCTTCTTACATAAAATATAGTTTACTATTTATACTTTTTTACTGCTTGCTTTATTTACTTAATAAAACATCCTGGTGATCGCTCCATGATAGAACATAGAGCTTTAAAAAATTCTGTTTTATAGTTTTATAGTATTCCATTGTGTGATTATACCATTTATTCAGTTCTCATTGATGGATATTTGGGTTGTTTCCAGTACTTTGCTGTCATAAATCACACCATGGTCTACATACCCCTTGTGTTTCTGCCAGTGTCTCACTTGGATAGATACAATAGGGGGAAAGGGCGATAGAGGGTGTGTGGGGCTACATTCATCACCTTTTACAAGTACTGTCGGCTTTGTGTGTGACCTTCTTGTCCTTATCTCGTGTATGTTTTTAATAATTAATATCATATATTTTATAGTTTTTTCATCTAAGGTTAAATTGTACATTTCTACATGTTTTTATGTTCATCATAATTTTTACTAGGTATATTCATGTTGTATCAACTTTGCAAAAGTAGATTACCGCTAATAGATAGTAGATACTGCTAATATTTCTGGTTTGGTTTGTTTTTGCTAGTCTAGCTAACAGTGTAGAGAAGATTACCGATCTCCTCCCATAGGGTAAATTCTCAGGTCTGGGATGATCAGGTGAAAGACTATAAAAAGTTTGATGATTCTTTAAACGTGTTGCCATAGTGCTTTCCAGAAAGGCTATAGCAGTTTACAGTGTGTGCAGCTGTGTATGAATACAGCAGCTAGTTTTTATAGCTCATACAGCTCCTACCACATTCTGTCTTACACTGCAAACGTTTATGAATGCATTGACTCTCCTCCTATATTGTATGACAGTGGCTGGTGCTTTTTTTGCCCAATAGTGCTTTCCTAAGTTCATATTGAGCACATACGGTTTCGGAATTGCGTGAATGGGATGTGTGATAATCATACATAAAAGCTCATTGGCTAGTATAGATTATTACACATGAACAATAAGTCAACACAACACAAAATACATAGTTAACAGGAAGTTATAGCTAATGTTTTGATGCTGTTTATGATAGTGTGTTGGTTCTCATACAGGTGGGGGACCTTAGGCTGGCACTGCAGCGTGCAGAACAAGCAGCTGCCAGAAAAGAGGATTATTTACGCCATGAGATCAGTGAACTCCAGC